ACAAGAGGAGCCTCAACTGGGCTATAACAACAGCCTATGTGTGCCCACAGCCAACATCAACAATACGTATACACTCCATACACACACACACACCCGGTATTACCCACACAAGTGTGCACTAGAACATGCACTTTTGAGCGACCAAAACGCGTTTGTCCTTTAACCATGGCGTACCGTAACCCCTCTCGGATACAAGCACTTTTATTGTGTTGTTTGAAGTGTCAGCGCTACAACAATAACAATACTAACTGTAGGTAGCATGTGTGCATATGTGTGCTACACGAAAACACTTGAAATGTTTTAATGCAATAAAAAGCGATTGTAATGAGGCTCATAAATGCGTTTAGAAACGCTTTAACACTCATGTTATTGGGCGTGTAACTAGTCTGTACATACATACGTGTACATATGTATGTAATATATTTAATGTCTGTATGTAATGTATGACGACTTTTGGGAACTCTGTTTGTTGAATGGTTTTTGTGTTGTATTTGCAGCTTTGGAAAAATCCCAGCTAACTAAAGAATCAAACTCAAATATACAAACGTTGACTGCAGCACATACTCGCATGTACAAACATATGTATGTTACGCGTAATACATTTATACGATATATACAAATACATAAATGGCATTCCCTTACTTTTTAAGTACATAAGGGACGACATTTTTCTCAGTTCACTCAATTTTAAATTCAAATTCCAACACCAAAATGGACTTTAGTGTATTTGCATATAATTTCAGGTGCGAATACTCTACTCTATACATACATATATATGTATAAGCTAGTGTTAAATTCGAAAGTAATATATTTTTAAGCAAAATTCTCAAGTATGTACTGTTTGTTTTTATTAGCTTTCCTTGCAAACGCCAGTACCGATTTTAAAGATTTGTTTTCATGTGTGATCCAGTGGATTACAGAATGATAAGGAAAAATCTCATATACAGGGTCCGCCATCTAACATTTTTTTTTTTAACTAGTGGTTATTTTGAATGTGGTAAAACTGATGTTATATCTGATTTGACAGAAAGTTAGTTTTATCCTTCCGCTGAACGAAAATGGTTGTATATACGATTGAGGAACGCTTTAAAATAATGCAGTTTTACTTTGAAAATGTGTGCGAAAATTACGCACGGAAATAAGCCGGAACAAAGCACCGTCCGCTCCGTATGTGCGCTTTCTTTTGAAAAAATTGAGAGAAACCGGCACAATTATTGATAAACCAACGCGTGAGAAACCAAAAAAAAAGCGTACTGCCGGTAATATCGCTGCTGTGGCCGAGAGTGTGCGTGAGGCGCCCGGAACATCAGTGAAGCGTCGCTCTCAACAATTGGATATTTCCGAGACGTCCCTTAGGCGAGTTTTAAAAAAAGACCTTGGTATGACACCGTACAAAGTTCAATTGGTTCAAGAATTGAAGCCACGAGACCGAATGGGCATTTGTTTTATTGCATTTAAAAAAAAAAAAAAGCTACGTGGCGGACCCTGTATGATTGACCCAACACCGATCTATTTGGAGCTTAATTATGACTTTTTCTTTTTCTCTCTCTTCCTCTGGAGGGCGGCCGAATCTCCCAGTTTGTTTATGAAAATTAAATTAAATAATCCGAAAACTTTGGCCAAAGTTCAGCCACAAAAATGAACTACATACATATATAAAAAAGCAAAATTAAAAAAAAAAATATATTAATAACAACAAATGGTGTATTCTGGACGTGTAGTTTACAATGAGCCAATACTTTTTTCGGAATTGGTATTTTTGACTGTTACTTCACGCACACTCAGTTTGGTTTGACATTTCATAATCAACAGACTTACTCCAGAATGACGTTTGCAAATTGTACAAATTCTTTAGTAAACTGAAGTTTCGGTTTGTGCGTCGCATCGTGCACTCCGTCCAGTAATCGGGGGACACAATCGTCTAGCAGAGTCTGTAATTCGAGCATTCATGGAACAAAGCGACATTGACTATAGTGAATAATGAGCCTCCTCAGCGTGCAGGTCTATGATATTACGCATTGAAAACGCTATTGCCGCTGTGAAGCAGAGTAAGAAAGAAGACTCAAATGAGTCTGTCCGCCATCGCGCAACAATTCCAGCTGTTCTCATCCACTCAGTCTCTGGCCCATATTTCTTCCTAACTGAAGTCGGCCATAATGTAACAGGCAAATGGGAATTCTATAGAACATGTTTAATGATTTCTTCGTGCCTGAATTGGAGATGTTGAAAAGGACGGATCATTGTTTCCACAAGACAAGACAAGACGGTGCCAAAATAGCCAAAAAAAAAAATTATTTTTAAAATACTATCATATTATACATATTATCTTTGTAATAAAACTAAGTCCTTGGCCATAATATTGAATTGTTATACTCGTAAGAGCATTTTATATCTTCTGGAAAGCCATAAGTCTAAATAAAATACCCTTTAAATATATTAAAATTTATTATTTTTACTTAAGCTCAAGAGATGAACAGAATGAATAATAAAATATTTTAATAAAATGTTTTTTTTTGGATCACTGGAATTTCCATCTGTGAATCGCTGCTGAATCGCAACAAAATCCGTTTCTGAAGCGGATTATGACTGACGATGAATTGATGACCAGGAAGGTTTTGCTGCGTGTTTGGTGGGATTGGTAATGAGTCATCTACTGCGAGCTACTCCCCTCCGGCCAAACGCTCAATTCGACCCTCTACTGCCAACAACTGGACCGCTTGAAAACGGGATTTATACAGAAGAGGCCTTCTTTTATCAACAGAAACAGAATTGTGTTCCATCAGGACAACGCCTGGCTACACACGTCTTTGATGATGCGCCAGAAGCTCCAGGAGCTCGGATGGGGGATCCTAATGCACCCACCTTATAGTCCGAACCAGCCACCAAGTGATTACCATCTTTTCCTGTCAATGGCGAACACGCCGAATGGTGAGGAGTTGGCCTCAAGAGAGGCCTGTGAAAATTTGCTCTCCAAGTTTTTTGCCAAAAGGGACACAGCCTTCTACGAGAGGGGTATAATGATGGCATCTCGTTGGCAACAATTTTACGAACGAAACGGCGTATATTTGACTTAAATTGCACAAATGTATACAAAATTATTATATTTTGAAAAAACAATAAAAAAACCGAACGAACTTGTTACTTGGCCATATATGAACAGCATAGAAAATTAAATTAATTTAATTTGAAGCCATTACTATATGTTTCATATAAACGAGTAAAAATCGGCTTCTAAACTCTTAAGTTCAGTAACAAAAAATATCAGAAATAAATACGATGAAATCTTCTTGTTTTCTTAATTCTAATGACCCGCCTCTCCGCATATGAGCATAGCGGATCTCCCTATACAGCTCTTCAATCAAAAACTTTGGTTAGATGGTTGCTTGCAAAGGGAGGGTTGTGAACCTGACGCGTGCGTGCGGTCGGCTTTAACCACTGAGTTGACTAACTTACGGTGTTATATCGAAGAAGTCGTTCGATTTGATAAATCTTCTTATATATATTTTTTTTTTTGTTATCTCTCATCCATTCTTGCACATTTAGGATAGGTTGAAAATTGGGGCAACGTGCATGAGTTTAAACCTTAATCGGCTGAAGGCCGGACACTCGCAAAGGCAGTGCACCAGTGTCTCTTCTTCTTCTTTGCAGATTTTAGTTTAGCTAATATTTGAAGATTTTATATCAAGGGCATATGCTCCATAAATACATCTGAAAGGATACTAAATTTCCGTTAGTGCTAGTAAAAATAAATCTGTGGTATGCTCTACGTCAATGCTCCAGGTTCTTAATTCTTTTAAAGCAAAAATTTAAAGGTCTGAGGCACTGTGAAGTAAGTTCGTCTGCCTTTTCGTTAACACATAATAAACTGTGTTCTCCTGTGCTCATCGCCTTTCTGAATAACCACATTCAAGTGGGCGACTTCATATATTAGTGTGGATCTTACGAAGCATGTTTAGGGATCGCAACCCTCATTTTGGCAAAGTAGCCGTTTTGGTGGTGTTCGAAATTCGCTGAGTTTTTTGTAGAGTTTTGTTGATTCTAGCTGAGATTTTTACCAAGTATTACACCAAGATACTTGGCTGAGTTGGAGGGCATTACAATGTTACCACTAAAAGATGATGGGTTAAATTTGAACTAATGTTTTACTTCAAACGAGCATAACATTAAATCTTGACCTTAAAGAGTATGAGCTCTACACCATTCAATTCTGGATTAAAGAAGAAGTTATGAATTGAATGAACTTGAAGCTGTTAATCGCTTTGGAAATGATTTTACATATTTGTAATGCTAGAAAATATTTTTGCTTGCATATTTGCGAATTAAATAAATTAAATTAATTAATTAAAAAATCTTTCACTTGTTATTTTACAACAAATATAATCTAAATCTACCCACACACCATGCCGTGCTTGAACAATTGTGCAACTGAAGAAATCCACAATGGAATAGAACAAAGAGAACCAAATACTAAACATTAAAAATCAACAATCACAGCCACACACACTTTGAATATAAATATAAATTATAATAATATGAAAACAATAAACAAAAGTCAAATCTGTTTTGTCTCTTTATATTCGTACATAGGCATGTAATGTACGGAGAACAAGTGTGACATCAAAATAGTCATGAGGGACAATGAAGCAGCAGAAACAGTGATGTTCACTGAGGTGGGCTTAATGAACCAGAAGTAAATAAAGGACCCAAACACACACATATGGGCTTACAGAAAAACAATGTTGAGTTTGGAAGTAGACACAAATGTAATAATATCTTCATATATGGGTGAGTGTATGTATATGGAGGTGGCTCTGGTCATCCATTTCTACTTGGTACCGATGCTAAGTTGAGAAAAGGAGTAGAAAGTGAAATGTTATGAGCGTTCTTGCATAAAAGCTTATCGAAAATATCCACATAAAAACACCAATTTTTTTTTTTTTTTTTTTCGTTCTTGCATAAAAGCTTATCGAAAATATCCACATAAAAACACCAATTTTTTTTTTTTTTTTTTGAGAATATTTTTAAATCTCAATTAGTGTGTCAACATAAAATAACGTAATCAATTCATATAATTATAAAGACATTAGATATTGGAGTTTCGAAAATCGCATAAATTCAATAGAATACTTTATTCATATTATCAGCTCGTTAAAATCTCATTAAATAATTTCATAGCAATTCAAGAGCAAGATTTGTGAAATATTGTTGTTTCACTCCGCTTCAAACTTTAAATTGGAAAAGTCATGTGTTTTTCAACTATCAAGGGGACAAGTTTGTTTATGCTTTTAATTTACGTATTTCCACGGCATATTCGAGCGATCAAATACACTTTTACGCGAATGGACTGCGCAGTGCTCGATAAAGAACTGCTGGAATTTGAAGACTGCGGCGTGAACGAGAATAATGAGGCGCATATGCGCTTAAAAGTGCTCCGACCGCCACTGGATAATATATCAGTGCGTTATATATTATAAGTTCAACTAATCCTATTAACTTTAATCTCTATCCCCACACACGTCACACAGGTCCAGGTTGTGCTTATGAGGTATGCGAGTGGTGAGTACAAAAGTTTTTTCTTAAACACCGAATATGATGTGTGCAAATTTCTTAAGTCGCATCGCAATCCATTGGTGCAATACCTTTTTCAATTTCTCAAACCTTACACCAGTCTAAACCACGGATGTCCCTTTTCGGAGGTAAGTTTGTTGCTAGCATTTCTAGTTTGATTTGCATTGAAAATCCTTTCCTTGCTTTTCAGCCTTATATGTATTTAAAGAACTTTCGTGTCAATGAAACTATGTTGCGTCCAATGAAAATTATACTTGATGGAAATTACTCATTCTTCAGCACTTGGATGACACACAAAGTTAAGCGTATGAAAATTGACTTGTATTTCACTTGGGAATCGTGATTGAGTACATTTTTTAAATTTTTTTTGATGTTGAAATAAATTGCATTTTTTTATATTTGGTTCTATTTAAATTCATTTTCCATAAATTAAAGATCACTTTGTATACAGATGGTACATAGTTGGCTATTTACATTTGCTAATTTACTTTGAAGATTAACTTTGAATTAATTCTGTATAATTAATTTATTACCAAGGTTTGATAAAAGGTTACACAAAATATTATTAAATTCAACAACAACAACATATGTAAATATATTCATAAGGAAATGAATTTATCAGCTATTTGTTTTTTCTTTTTCATCGGGAGCTACAATCTCCAAGCTCTTGTGTGCACTAACTATGGAGCATGCGATACACATCGGACAGTGGGAGCATCAGCTGCAGGGCAGTTTTTGACCTAAAGACGGGCTAACTACTGGGTTTCTAGGTATGCAAAATGGGCATTTGTACCAGTGACAGATGTCGGAAGCGTAACGAAGAAGGCAGGTTAAAATAACGTCGCTCCCGGAGCTGCACTGTTCGAAGCACTAGAAGAGACTTCGAAACTGGTTAGAAAGGTGCTCTTGAACTTCGCAAAAGTTGACGTTCTATACGAAGACTACATTGAACTGAATATTTAAGTATATTCTCTGAAAATACCAAGCCAATCAGATAAATATTCATTTGGTTTAGAAAAACTCATTTCTTTAGGCGCAAACTTTTAAAAATTTAAATACATGTTTCTCAAAAGGGTATGTGCATCTCGACAACACCGATTATTTCTCAGTTATTACTAAATCGATAGGTCTTCTTGGATGTATGTATAGCTCAGGTATTGTGTGAAGGAGTAAGACTTAAAAGAATTATTACAATTTTTTAGCAATACATTTTGTTTAAATATTGCAATTATTCTTATTCGTCGTTCAATAACCTTTTGTGCTTCGCAACTTTAGTTGTATAAAATTTAGATTTTACATGTTTTTTGATTTTATACATATATATATATATATATTTACTAAAATATTCTATTCCATAACGTATTAAATTTCAAACTATAAAGCGGTCTCCTGGAAGCGCATGACCTCTCTAAGTTTAGACATCCTGAATTAAAGTAGGGTGACTTTCGATACATTCCAATTGTGAAAAGGATTTGCCTTGCAAAAAGCCTTCTAAGCTCTATAATCAACTTATTCTGTGCCTTGCTGCGTCAGTAGGTCATTTACGATAAAGCACGGTACAGGTAGAAAATTAGTTGAATTGATTAGAGCACCTATCCACATATTTAAATGTATCTACAGTCTAATTATTTACCTATTGAATTGGAAACGTGTTGAAAATATTGGCTCGACGGACAGAATAGAATGAGCTGCAAGACCGGGCGCGTTAACTAGTTTTAGTCTAGTTTTTTTTTAACAGCGTCTGAATGGCTGAAAAATTTTTATGAGGCGCTTTAATTTCAAATCAAAAATACACTCGACCCAGCACATGGCAGTTCAGCTAATCCTGTCTCCCACTTATAAAAAAAAATCAAAATCAAAATATGCGTCTTTTTGTTCAACATAATTAAAATGACCAAAAAAAAACCGAGAATAAAAAATGAATTATTGACGATTTCCAACGCCAATATATTGTAAAAGAAAATTACCAGTTTCGCTGTTGCCTACTTATTTGTATGTGTCGAAACTGTGATAGAAAAATGTCAAGAAAAACACCTTAAATTTTATACCACAGAGCTCAATGTAGGAACTAATCCACATTCATCCTATAGCCACAGACCACCAGTTGCTTTGCTACCTTGAAAACCACTTTCATGGTGAAATTTTCAAATACTAGCAAACCGGTAAAGAAATAATTGCATCAGTATTGCGCTTCTTCGACCTGACAAGTCCTCAAAGCTGGTCCATATCTCATTGTTCAACATAAATAAAATTACTTTAAAAAGTATAAAAAGTGAATTGTGTTTGTTTTTGAAAAAGACAATCCAGAATCCCACTAGATCTCACTAGATTCACTTTCACTAGATTTGACTTTTAGAAAACATCAAAATTCATAGACTATTTAGAACTTTCAGGAATTGGTTTTTGAATAAGACTAAACTGTGTTCGTTTGATTTCTTCGATACGATTTTGTAAAAAGAATTCACTAGTTAGTGAGTTACTTAGTTTATTAGGTTCCTTAATCTTTTGGGCCGTTCTGATACCTAAATAGGTACTGTTAAGGATAGTCATTTTATCTTTCCAAATGCTCATATCACTCGGTGTGTTTTATGAAATTCAAGATAATAATGATGCCTACCGATGCAAACTCTGCGAGGCAATTGCAGAAAAAAATTTCAAGAAAACGATAACGAGCCGCACTGAGAGCTGGGCAGAGATAAAGTTCCTGTTCCACTGATTTCTCTACATCAAAAGCGGTTATTACGCCAGTTGTAATGCTTATTGAGGTTAGATTTAGAATAAGTAGAGATTTAGCGCTGTTTATCTCGTTTAATGGTCCGATTTGTCTTGTCATATTGCACGTAGTTTTGCTCTGCCATCTGCTGTTTAGATTTAGCAGATACATTGCATACGTCATGTAACGTCTAGCCAATTCGTTGGCTACGCAGTTTGCTGGTATGTCCCTATGACCCGGGACCCAAACCTCAAACGTTTCGCATAGAGTCGAGATTTCGCTTAAGATCTCTCTGTATTTTGTTGCCACTTTTGAGATGATATTATTGCATTGGAGACAATAAATAGCAGCTGGCTTTCAGAATATATTGTAATAGGTTGTGTTAACATATTAGAAACGATTACGAGCTTCTTTAAGATAATCAAAAACATAAGCAGCATCAATTGATTTTTAATGTCAGGCTAGAAGAGACATTATATTTTTAAGGTACGCAGTCTATTTTTCTTCGAAATTAAATTTTGATATCTTTCAAACCAAAAGCGGTTTCATATATGCACATATTACATCATGTTACATGTCAGAATTGTGATACGGATATAATTTCCATTGAAATTATCCCCCGATTTTTTCATAATTAACATTCATACCGTAACGGTATTCCGTGTAGATTTTTGACAATTGCTTTCTTTATTCTTAGTACTTAAGCTATTTTCAATACCAACGGTGCCGAATTCATCCGTTTACTAACTGATCAATCATACTTACTAATATTCAATGGCATTATGGCCGCCTGCATTTGACTGAAGATCTGCCGATGGTGAAGATGGTGATGGGGATGTCCCGGATGCCCGCTGACAGACGCTCCGCCAAAATACAAGTGATTCTGATGTAGTGCCAATTGTTGGTGATGATGATGGTGATGGTGGTGATGGTGATGTTGTTGCTGTTGCTGAGCAGTAAACGCATGTTGTTGCAGGTGGTGGTGGTGATGTTGCAGCTGATGATGTGATTGTTGTTGCTGCTGCTGCTGCAGTTGTTGTTGGTGGTGGTGGTGTTGATGGTGGGCAAGGGAATGCTGCAACGGGTGGTGGTGCTGTTGTTGTTGTTGCTGTTGCTGTTGTAGGTGGTGGGCTTGTTGGACATGATGTTGTGATGGCAAGGCCAATGCCAACGCATGATGGCTCGCAGCCACAGCACCCGCTGTCAGCACCGACTGAGCACCAACACTGCTGCTTGCCGATGCCGACGATGGTGGTGCGGGTGGCAGTGGTGGCGGCGGTGGTGGCGATGATGTGGCCGCTACTTGTACTGCTGTTGTTGTTGTTGCTGCTGCTGCTGCTGCTGCACCACCACCGTATTGACGTGTTGTGGCCACAGCTGCTGCTGCTGTTGCTGTCGCCGTTGCTAAAATGTGATGATGTGTTGTTGTAGAACGCTGATTTTGTACTGTATTCAAACTGTGTATGGAGGCGTGTACCGCCGATTGATAAATAATACCGTTATTCGACATAGCCGTCATCGACTGGTGATGATACATCGTCGGTCCGACAGCGGGTGGCGACGCGCCGGCCGCAACTGTTGCTGCTGCGGCAATGGCCGCTGTGGCGGTGGCCGGTGCTAGCGGTAGCGAGCAATAGCCGGCCATCTGAGTGGTTGCGGGTGCGCTCTGCTTATCGATTTGTTTTTGTACTTTTTTTTTTTTTTTTATTATATTTTTTATTTAACCAATGCGTGGTTTGGAATAATATTTTCGTATTTTCAAATTTTATCTTTCACTCATCGGAGAGAACTGTCCCAATAGGCAGGACATAAGTATTCAGTATACTGTGTTTTACATACAAATATATATTATATATTATACAACATGAACTAAAAAATATTTTATTCTGTGTTCAAGACTCCAACGCCAAAATTCAAGAAAGCGGAAGGTAAAGCAAAAGCTAAGGGACTCAATTGTAATCTAACTGTTTTTGATGAGAAAAAAGTCTGGCATATGCAATTATAGTGCACACAAGCATGCAAAGGATCGCCGGTTCGAGCTCAGACTAGACCAACCTCCAAAATCGTAATTAATAGAAAAGGAGTTTCATTTATGCGACCGTGTCTGATTTCGGTATTACCAACTGTGTAAACTGGCGCAGGACAATACCAGTCGTAGAGTAAGAATTGGGTAGAAGCTTACCGAGTCGATGTACAATATTTTACAAGTGTGTGAGAGTACGTAAAATTGTACAATTTTTTCCAGATTAGACAAAGTGACGAAGGAATTGGGTTTGGTAGTGAACACGACGAAGAAGAAATACATATTCGCGGCTTGACAATCATAGTTCTTGGTACCCCCATCAAAGTCAACGACATCGTCAGTCTCGAATCTAACGCAGAAGCACTCTTGCCAACGGATGCTACTTCGGACTGATTATTGACAATTCGAGAAAAAAAATTGCGCATTGCGAAAACATTGGAAACATTGGAAGAATCAGCTGGTTTCACTTGTTGGAAAAAACACCGAAACACCAACCATAAATTGGAAATTTTAGCAATATATTATTCTTGAATTATTTGAAATTATCCTTCATAGGCACCTTTTTTGATTGAAGCTTTTTATTTTCATTTCAGAAATACACTCAAGGTCGCTACCGCGGGGACTCAATTTTAGTATGGTAACTTTGGAATTGATCTCAATTCGAATACATGGCTCTCCACTTGATACCCGTCTTTTACATGATTCTCATGTAAGAAGCGTACTGCCGGCATTGCTAGTTTTGTTATTCACATTTCCCGAGTTTCAATTTTTGAGCGTGGGCTCGAGAAATGGAAAATAATTTTTTTTTTTGTTTTTTTCTCAGGTTTTACCACGTCAACATCTAAGAAACCCCTTTTTGGTTTCTGCATAAATAGCGGAAGTAGCACTTCGCGCTTAATATGGAACATCTGAAGAAATTATTCACAAAAAAAAAACCCTTTCATAACTAAATTGTGAATGGCTAGAAGTTTTACATTCATATATTTTCATGTATTCTGGATTCTGTGTACTTTTCTCTTTATTTTGTTATTATTTATTTTTGAATTTCCTAACAAATTTTTTATTCCGCTTATATTCATTGCGTTATTATTCAAAAAACTCATTCACTTTCTTTTCATCACACTTATCTATGTCTGAAGTTATTATTATTTTCTGTTAAAATTATTCTTTTATAATTTTTTTATTCGAATTTTCCTTCAATTTATTGGTGCAAACAATTAAATGATTCAATTTTATTAGTCAATTATCACCACGAAAACAATGCCTTCCACGTTGTTAAATTAATACTAAATTTAAATACTTTCATGAAGAGCTATTCACTCCACTGTTCATTCGTCACCGTTAAAAACTTTATCTTATTAAAAAAAAACAGTATTAATAAATAAATAAAAAACACTTCTACATACATATTTAATATTTTAAATTGATAATATACCTACTTACACATATGTATGTATACAGACATGTTTTAGGCGTAGCGATTTATCTTATACATAAATCTTCAGTGGACATAATAACAGTCTGCTTTCTTGCTTTAATATATTCATACCTACATATGTACATGTACATGTTCACCAAGCAGTACGTAAGAGAGGAAAATCTTATCGCTTTATAATAAGTTTTTGCCTTCAACTCATTTATTTTGCTAACACATAAACACCAGCAAACATGTGTTTTTAATGTGAATTTTTATTTAATTTATAAATATTATAAATATGGCTAACAAAGCCAGCAGGTTGTACCTACATACGCACATATGAATTTATTTTTTTTTTTTATTATTATTATATAATTATTATATTATTATTTACGCGTGCATGAATGTAGATACAAATGAATACAACTGTGTTTACTTTGCCTCAGTTTATTCTTACTTTTCCATCTTTATCTTGCTTCGTTTTTCAAATTCAGCAACTCTTGTGAATTTGAGTGACATATTTTTATCAGTGTAACTAACTAAATACATATTTGTACGCTTTTAATTTTGAAGCAAATTAATTGTGGAACAGAAGCTGATTCATCCGAATATTTACATTTCTCAAAAATACTCACAATTTGCGTAGTTTTTTTTTGTACTTAAAAGAATAGTAGAATAATTTGCAACTATCAAGCCAAGCAGGAGTTTTCTTACTTAATTGTAAGCCGTAAAATAAAGCCATTTGGATTAAGGAGGGAACCTGGTCTAGAATTTTGAAAAAAATCGAAAAAATTTTGTTTGCCTTAAAAGGTGCCTTAGGGTCTTAGAAATAACATACCAAAAGATGGATGCCGGCAAAAATGTCTAAATGCCTAAATTCTTCATTCGACGGCAGTGTCTCGCAGGTGTGCCCGAGCGACCTACAACTTTAATCGCGTTTTTCTCGAAATCACTTTTTTTTAAACTGGCCGAAGACATAACTCGAACAAATCTTCACCGATTCTTACGAAATTTCAACAGTACATTGGAAATACCGTTCTCCAAAGACGTACGTAGGTACATGGTTTTTTTTCAATCAACAATTTTAAATCGTTTTTTTTTTTTAGTGAAAATTGTAACTTTTTGTTCAAACGTGCACAATTTCGCGAAAAAAAAAACAAAAAATATCGAAAAAATCCTATGTACGCCTCTTGCTCTTGTTATGTAGAAACTAAAAAAAAATTTTATTATTTGATACAGAACAAAAATTAAGGAGTTTACATCTTCGGACTTATTAGAAAAAAAATGCGTCTTCGAAGAAATGCTAGACAGCGGCCATTTTGAAATTAATTCATGCGAAACATTTTGTATTTGTATCATGAAACCTATTTTACAGATTTAGGATTGATTTCTTTGTTGAGTCCAAATAAATTCATAAAATATGGCCATTTTTAGGATTCAACTTCGCAGTAAAAAAAATTCGAAAAATAAAAATAGATCAAGATGTGTACTTTGAAAAATGGATTTGATCTGAAACTGTTAGTTTAACGCTTTTAAGAATACGAGACCAAATATGTAAGGAGCAGTGATTTCATATTTTCTAGTACCTGTATATAAATTTAAATAATTTTTTTTTAATTTTTTTTTTTTTAATAACTCTTAGAATATTGAGATTTGTAATAAAAAAAAACAGGGCTCTTTCCAACAATTGAGAACATACAACATTTTTTTCGATAAAAATTTAATGAGAAATTATGGATACTTTCAAAATCATAGAACAAATAATCTTAACAAATTTATTTATTCGATTTTTTTACTTTGTCGGCATTCTAAAAAAAAAAACTTTCANTTTTATTTTATTTTATTTTATTTTATTTTATTTTATTTTATTTTATTTTATTTTATTTTATTTTATTTTATTTTATTTCATTTTTTTAATTTTATAATTATTTATAATATTTATTACATAATTATTTTTTATTTAATTCAATTTTATTTCAGTTTATTTTATTTCAGATTATTTTATTTTATTTTGTTTTCTTTTTCTTGTTATTTATTTTTTTATTTTTATATTTTTGTTCCATTTATTTTGTTATTATCCTTTGTGTTATTTATTTAATTTTAGTTAATTTTTTTATTTTATATTATTTTTATATTTATGTTCCATTTATGTTGTTGTTATCCTTCGTTAGAAACACGGAGTGTATACAAAATTATTACCGTAAATTGAAATTTTGAACAAAATGTTGAATTATTAAAAACAAAATAAATATTTGGAAGGCTGAATCTATGCTAGTATATATATATATATGTAGATAAAAACATCAACAAAAAGATTTATTTTTGCAATAAGAATTTTACTTATTATCTAATACAAGTTTAAAACATTGAAAATATTATATTTATAAATACATATACATCTACACATCTATATGTAATACATAAAACACATCTAACCATTGAATAGTAAAATTAATATGAACAAAACATAACATTTGCTTTCTGTGAGTCATGAATATTTTTCACTTTCGCTCGACGATTGTAATGGAAAAGCATTGCATAACTACAAATGTTGTAAAAAAAAAGTCCATTAAATATGTTAATATTGGTGAAAATGATCACAGGATAAAAAAAGTTGTAAGTTCGTGTCCACAATCAATGGGCCTTTCTCTCCCTTTCGTACATTTAAAACCTCTTTTTCACTTAATTTATCTGAGAACTCATATTTGTCCGAGGTGAGAAGAGAATCATTACGTTTTTTTATGTTGTCTTCCTCAGTTTCTCTTCACTAAAACCCATTATAGAAGTTATTTATAAGGTTCAAAGTATCTTAAAGGTTTTACAATTTTTGGGATACAAAATATTTTTAAAATGCTGAAATAAGAGCTCTTGATTACCAAAAGAATATATATATACTCGTATGTATCTTAATATCTTTCCTGCAAAACTCGCTTTGAGTAGAGTGATATTGGCTATTAATACGTCATACAATAACAATAAAACCCAATATAGTATCACAGTAGCAGTCCGAAACAGAAGTTTTATATCACAAGAAATACAAATCATGATTGAATCTTTGGTCAAATAATTCTTTCCTCTGCGGTTAGTTAGGCAGGTTACATACATATGTTTCTGGCTAAAAAATGTAGCAAGTGAGGGGAAAAATTGAAAAATAAATTTAATATATATTTCAATAAAAGTTGCAAAGCTAAATGGCGATACCATAGTTCTATTTTACGATTTTTTTTTACAGAAAGTTCCAAATGTGTCTTTTGACCCCCCACGGTAGATTCAGTGTTAAATGGGGAAATTAAATAAATCAAAAATAAATATGGGTGCTAGAGTACTTTTTAAAGTTTAGATATGGACATTTCTTCAACGAAATCAAAATAAGTATTAAAAAACATATGAAATATCTACAATTTGCCAAGAATTCAAAGCTATAAATGCCAAAATCAATGCATATTTCCATGGGACGTTGACTTTCTTAACAGTTTATGTTAATGAAACTATATCGCTTGTTTGGTTAACGAATTTTTTGCACGAAATTTTTTCTTTTATGAGTTTCTTGACAGAAAAGTCACAATATTTTTGACAAAAAATGTATATCAATTATGTAGTGAAAAACTATCGTAAATAAGTTTATATGAGTAGGAACGAATCCCAAGAAGCTGTCACTTCCACATTCTAGCAGCTCCTTTTCATAATTGAAAAATTTGAATCTATTTTAATAGTAAAGAAAAAACTATTTGTGCTGTCACATTATACTTCACTGTCACTTCAAAAACTACTCATTTTTATTATTATTTGAGTCAACACAGATAAGGAAGAAATTTACTGATGGCTTTAAGGAAAGTCTTCCAAGTTTTACGACTGAAAAAACTAAATTTAGAATATTCCAAACATGGTTCACTTGTTTCGAATTCCCACTATCAATTTTAGAGGCATACAAACCAATACCAATTATTCGCGTTGAGAAATTTACATTGGACTGCCTTAAAGAATCTTCCTTTTTACAAAAGACTTTTCCAGCTAAATAATCTCATAGTCGTAGAAAGAATATAATTTTAATTTAATTATTTAGCACTCTTTCTTAGTGAAAAAATTATGGGAGCATTAACATCCCTTTTATTTTATTTATACAAAACAAACTTTAAGATGAGCTACACTTTCAGTTGCTTGAGCAAAAATTTTAATATTCATTCTGCCAGTACTGCCTCCAACTTGCTTTTCCCTAACAAATAATGTTTGATTTTTATAAAATTTTCTTGTTTTACTTCCTCTTCACAGCTTTTTAATTGAAATTTTATCTTTTAGCAGTTGTAGTTGTACAGGCAAGTGTAACCATGACCTACCGCGATCGGTCTTGAATTCAGCAGATTGCCTTATACACGGTTATCGGTCTATTCTATTTTTCTTCAACAGACATGGGAGGTGAGATTTTTCGTAAAAAAAATTCAACAGAAAAAATATATATATAAAAAAATATAAAAAGGAAAAAAATTTTAAAATAAAATAATATAAAAAAAAGTTGAAATAAAAATTAAAAGAAAATAAAACAAATTTAAAATTCAACTAAAAAAAATATTAAAACTAAATATAAAAAGAAAAAAATTTAAATATATACATATATAAAATTTAAATAATAAATAAAAAAAACAACTATCTAAAACTTTTTGCAAAAAATCGTTTTGCCTTTCAACGAAACGTTTTATTTACCTTTATTTACGAAAACAAAATAATGTTTTCTTTATTTTTCACTTTTAAGCAAATGTTATATTTTGTCGTTGCTTACATAAATAGTTTAGCTCTACAGTTATTTCCGTAGCGTTGAATTAAAATAAATATTTGTATATTTATGATAAACACAGATAGATATATTTAACAAGTTAATAGAACAGATAGTCATATGTAAAACTTTAAAAAGAAAATTACCAGATTTTTTTTTTTTTTTTTTTGGAAATTTACATTTATTTTAATAAGACATTGATAGGAAAGATAAACACCCATATGTAGCGGACACATTTATTTATTTAAGTTGAGAAGCACAACATTGAACTCCGCAACCATAATAACGACATTAAGGTAAAATATGCTACACAGATAGAATTTATGATGACACCAAGAAAGACAGCAAGAATAACAACGCTAATTACAACATTTAATACATATCGCATGTATATACATATGTATGTAAATGTAAACACATAAAGTTGAAAATAACAATGAATTACAACACAACATTTAAACAACTTTTTGTTTGCTTACGAATTTAAACTGTTTTGCATGTTGTGATTTAAAATCATTTGTTTTTGTTTTATAAACATTTGTGAATTTAATTATTTTTTTTTTTAGTAACGCACAAAGTCACAATTGTTAATAAGTCATTACGAAAATTCACTTCAAATTCAAATAGTACAAAACCGTTAACGGTCCAAACACTCGCCGAGTCGTATTTCGCTTATTTCCGTTACTACGTTGTACTCGCCACTACACGATTTCCGCACGAACATTACTCCGCTGATGCACACGAACGCGGCGGCGAATATTTGTTGCTTCAACGAACGGCAATGCGTCCTGTACATGAGGCTAGAGTCTAGAAACTAAAATCACCAAAAGCTGTGCAACGGCGAGCAGCCAAGAAAGGATTCGTCGTTCAATTTGCCAAACACACACACACAAGCACACACACTCAAACAAACGTGCGCACTTTGTAGCACAATTGGAGATTTATGGCATGTAGCACGTGTGCAAGCGTCTCGTGATTGCATTTCGATTGCATAGAGCGAGATGGCGATAGTGTTATGGAAGGAAATAGCTTCACACCA